TGACCAAAATAAATAGATGGAAAAAAAAATAAAAAGGATTTGATATTCACTGCATTAACAAAAGAAAAGAAAAACAAAATGCATAAAGGGAAACACACACACACACAAACACAATGTAGCCCCCCCTTCCCACTCACCAATGAAAAAGATATAAAATAACACTAACAACCACATCAAAACATAAGTGAAATATAATTAAAAAAAAGAAATACAAAATAAAAATTCTCCTAACATGATCATACAGCTACAAAAAATAGACAAAGTAAAAACAAAAGATACCCTCCCCCCCACTGTACACTTAAAAACCTGAAAGCAGAAAAACCAAAAAAAAACACCCCAAAAATATTAGAAAACAAAATAAAAATGACAAAAGAACCATGTCCTTGAAGCCCCTAAACAATAAAAAAGGAAAATAAAATGCCACTCCTTAATCTAGCAACTACAGCTTCATGATTAATCAATAAAAAGATAAAGAAAAAAAAAATAACACACACAAGTCTAATGTGTTGGTCCTCATTTTCTATCCTCTTCATTATAAAGGATAACACTTGTGTTTGGCTCTCAAATGATTAGAGGAAAAAATGTTCAGTGATTGCCACTGCTATTCACATTCTCATCAGTAATCTGACATGAAACATTCACAAAGGAGTTTTTGTTTCATTTAAACTTTCATGGGTTCAACTATAAATTCTAAGCAAACAACAAGTGGGTATAATAGAAATAGTTGGCAGCTGAATGCAGGAAAAAGAAAAAAACTGTTGATTTGGCTGATCATTCATTGATTTGAACCCATAATTACAGTCATCATTTTTGTTTCTTTTATTCTTTAGAGTTTACTTGCACTCAGAAATGAGTGTGAACACTTATTCATTTGCCATTTAAAAACCGAAGAAAAATAAGTCAATCAAATTCTAAAGATGATTTACTGTTTGACTTACTGGCTTTTGGAGAACTCCCACCACTCTTTGATATACTTTGGTATCACCTTGGTACTTAGTTTCCATAACACTTATGCAAATTAGTCTAGTGGATACATCAATGAACAATTACCATCGAGTTTGAAAAGTGGTTTTCTTTGTTCTTTCAGATTTTAATTTATGGGGGCTTATGAATGAATTAGCAGAAACAATGTGCTTGCATGACTAACTATACAAAGAGATTTTAGTGTCCCAGTATTGAAGAGGTTAATGACTTCTCAAAAAAGAATAGATGAACTTTAATATTGATATTAAGTGTGGCTTATTTTAAGTTTAATAAAAATGGATTACAACGCAAGTAAATTTAAATTTTATAATCTTTTCTGACCAATGAATATAGAGAACACATTTAATCAATCAGAAAACAGGTAATTTAGTGACTTTTTTTAGATCCAATTGACCTAAACTCTATAAAAACCTAAAATCTCCATAAAAATACCTAAGTAACAGGGAGATATAAGCAATAATATTAATATATATATGATTGAAAAGTAACTCCCCATTTTAAAATACTTATAATTTATTTATTAACTATAATTTTTACAAGAAATGGATATGAGAGAAAAGCATTTAGCATGAGGTTTTTAAATAACACCTCATCAAGTAAAAACCATTGAAAGCAAAAAAAATATTTCTTTTTCATAATTAAAATATTTGTATTATTTTACATTGGTTTCTCAGATTGTAAATACATACTGATAAATCAATAAGCCCTAACTTGACACCTGAATTTTTATTTGAAATTTTCATTCTTTCATGTTCAATCTCTTTGACTGAAGAAAGGATTAATGGTAGAGATTATTACAAATGATATTTATTGTGTAAAATAATTGCCTTTTCAACATTAGGTTAAATTATTGATGTACTTTAATCATTGATATAATATAAAAGAATATAAATAAGATAACATGTCTGATGGCAGATTTTGCTCTTGCAGTAGACTATAGAATAAATCTAATGGAAAGTGAAAAGCAGACCAGTATCTCCTTCTTTGTTTGTGAGCATAGGAAATTATTTCTATTTACTCTGCAACAACCACTTTGGGAAAAACAGGAATACATTTCTCCCTGAACTCTGTAACCTCATCAGAATTTCTCTTTACTGACATGCTATAACAACTGATGGAGAAAAAAGTGATTGAGCGAACATGTAGGCAAAAACCGTTTTTGTCTAATTACCCAACTTTCAAATAAGTAATAAAAGATAAAAGCTGTTACCCCCATAGCCAGCTATGACAAGGTTTAATTATATTTTAATTATAACATGTCTCATGATTAGCTTTAGGCTTTTTTTGTCAGGCAATCATTTTATTAAGTATTTAAATTTTAGTCAGTAAATCTAATTCCATCTCTACCTTTGAACTAAGCATAATCATCATAAAATCAGTATCAAGTTTGTTGTCATTAGTCCAGTGATCATCACTCAAGGCCTATGTTCACTGCCTGATCATGCTTCAGTGTCTATTGTAATCAATCATGTTGGCTCAAGTGCAAGAAAGTCCGCCATAATTCAAACAACAACAAAAAACAATTGTCTGTGCCCAGTCAAGCATAAACATTGATCTTAAGGGATTTTATCTGTGTACCAGTTTAACTGGATAGCTAAAAATGATGGCAATATTTAAGTAACTTTGTAATTGCATTAGTTATATTTTCTGCATGGTTTAACTCAGATTTTTATCTCTACAATTAAATTGTTTTTTTAAATCATTAAAAGTAAAAATATACAAAGCTAACACAAAACAAAAACAAAAGAAATAATAAAAAAAAATGTATTTGCAGTCTGGTCTCCCTTACTTACTAATGAGATAATCTGTTATATTTGTTAATATTAGGCATGATCCCTTGTAGCTGTCAATGTTTCCTGTTACTGTAACAGTAGAATATCTTATCGCAATAGGATAGATAAATGTCTATGACCAAATCACATTTCTTTATATTATAAAAACAAAAAAATATAATTATTATCCCTTTTCCTAATAATAACTGATTAACATTATTATTGTTAATACCAGCTTCTCATACAAACTGCAGTATCACAACCATGTGGCATAATAAGTGACAATCTGAGGTCAAATTCTAGTCTAGTCTGTTGCATTTCATTTTACAAATTTTGGAAAGGTTATGTATCTTTTTTTCTGCCAGCTACGGGTTAAATAGCAGGGTAAACTCACTTATTCAGCCATTTTGTTTTAATTTTAAAATAATCCTCTTGAAAGTATACCTCTTGTGATATCTTACACTTATCCCAGCTTCAGTTACAATTTTCATAGTAGTTTGCAAATTTCTCTCTTTGGATTGCTATCAGTTACACCATCCTATTCTCAATTCCATTTACAGTCTGAAATCATTTTTTGTTTTTAACATGTGGATGGCAATGCCTTATCATGAACTTACATTTACAGGAAGAATGAAAAAAACCCAGCATTGCATAAGTCTGCGAATGGGTGAAGCAAGCTTTGGATAATATTAGACCAGAAATTGTGAAATCTTTTAAAAACTGGGGCATTAGCAATGCTCTCAATAGAATAGAAGATGACACATTATTTAACAATGATGATAGTAGTATTGAAAATGAGTATCAGAGTTTTGATAACGAAGATAAATTTTATGGATTTGAAGATGAATAAAATTTTAATGGTAACTGTACTGTTTTGCTCAATTGTAATAATTACTTGATTTTTTTTTGTTTTCTTACCTTTGGATATAATAAAGTTTTTATAGGCTCATGTACATTTTTCCTATTATTTTTCATTTAATTGTAATCATGGCTTGTTTAACCAAAATAATAGCTCATAAACATAGCCTAGGCTGTACCATTTACTAATTACTAATTTTTTCTTGATTTTCCCTGCTGAAATTGGGTGTGTCTTATATGTCATCAAATATGGCACTTTCCAAACCATTCTTGAAGCTTATCCCAGAAATAATAGTATGATCCCTTCTCCCCCACCAGACAAAATTGGCAGCACTAAACTTTTCCACTTTCATATATATGTCTTTCCCATGTTTTGTGACTAGGGCTTTCAGCAGTTGGGAGGTTTCCCAAATATGTATTTTTCTACATTTGCAATAGTGATTATATATGCAAACTTTGCTCATCATGGGATGATGGTGACTGATCGCTACAACTGTGTAGTGAGTTTAATCCTAACAGCAATTGGGGACTTGTGAGAAAATAAGCTAAGTTTAGTAATAGTGACAGGGCAAGGGAATTGAAAATAAAGTAATATCAAGGAAAACAAAGAGATAAAAAACAGAAAAACTAAAATTTCCGGATTATTATACAAAATGTGAACATCAAAAAGATTTCCGTATGCAAACAAATTTTACCTGTCCAATATAAAAAAAAATGTATTCATTATCAAGTTTTTCCCAATGACATCTTTGCTTTTGATTACAGCTATTTTCACTTGTCCTGTACCCACAGTGTCGTTTTAGCAACTCATCAGATCTAAACTCTCATATGGATGTCATGTATAGTGACCAACTCATTCAGACATGTCTGAACTAACAGCTATATACAATTGCTTTCTCAGATCACTGATTAAAAATAGCTTGAAGTAATATGAATTCTCTAGTTCTTAAAAGACAATACTTCATCAAGACTTATAAAATGGCACTATAGAATTATAAACAATAAACTTTACCAAAAAAACCACATCACTTGAAAACTTCACTGTTAAGCAAAAAATGTTGGTTTTGTTCTACAAAAAATCAATCATCATAATTATCTGACTTGGAAAGTTAATAATACCATAATGTTCAACTACTGAATAATACTAGAGATGTAAATGGCCTCTTTACTACAAAAATGAAATGGAAGGCATAATTGAAGGTCCTTATATCAAAATTAATTTTGATATAACAAATGAATTCTTTTGGTGTGTTTTTCATTTTTCAGGAGGTGAAATGCATTTTGTAAAAGTTATTTTTTTTGAGAATTATAGAATTGTTATTTTCTTTTTCAGTAAGGCTAAATCAGAGTGTAAAGGAACTGGTGGGAAGTTGTCAGTCTTTGTTATTAATGGTCATGAATAAGAAGGAAAGTAATCAGATAAGAAACAAAAAAAAACCAATTATTGATTGACTTGAGAATAGGGAATGAAATTAATGAAGTAAAAAAATAAATCAAAGAAAATGTGAAAATGAATAAAAAGATTTTATCAAAATAAGGAAGAAAAAAAGAGAAAGAATCAAAGAATAGATTAAGTTTTAAAAAAAAAAAAAAAAGGGAAAATATTTGAGAGGAAGAAGAACACAAAAAGGAAATAAAAATGGAAGAAAGATGCAAAAAATTAAAGCAAATGTAAGGAATGAAAAAGGAGTGAAAAATATTGTGGAAAGCAAGAAAGAATGAAAAAAAATATTTCAAAGGGAATAATAAAAAAAGGGAAAAAATGAATAAAGGTTGAGAAACTGAAATACAGAACAGAGATCATGGAAAATAATAAAAAAATTTAAGCATGAAAAATGCAAAAATACTAAGAGTGAATTGAAAGATACAGAGAGAGAGAGACATAGTGGACAGCAAGAAAGGCAGTACAGACAGAGAAAAAGAAAGGTGGGGGAGAGTGGGACAGAGAAGAAAAACAAACAAAGACAGGGGGTGGGGGGAGTGGGGCAGAGTGGCACAAAGACAGGGGTGGGGGGAGAGTGGGGCAGAGTGGCACAAAGACAGGGGTGGGGGAGAGCGGGGCAGTGGCACAAAGACAGGGGTGGGGGAGAGCGGGGCAGTGGCACAAAGACAGGGGTGGGGAGAGCGGGGCAGAGTGGCACAAAGACAGGGGTGGGGGAGAGCGGGGCAGAGTGGCACAAAGACAGGGGTGGGGAGAGCGGGGGCAGAGGGCACAAAGACAGGGGTGGGGGAGAGCGGGGCAGAGGGCACAAAGACAGGGGTGGGGGAGAGGGGCAGAGGGCACAAAGACAGGGGTGGGGGGGCGGGGCAGAGTGGCACAAAGACAGGGGTGGGGGAGCGGGGCAGAGTGGCACAAAGACAGGGGTGGGGGGGAGAGGGGGGCAGAGTGGCACAAAGACAGGGTGGGGGAGCGGGGCAGAGTGGCACAAAGACAGGGGTGGGGGAGAGCGGGCAGAGGGCACAAAGACAGGGGTGGGGAGAGCGGGGCAGAGTGGCACAAAGACAGGGGTGGGGGAGAGCGGGGCAGAGTGGCACAAAGACAGGGGTGGGGAGAGCGGGGCAGAGTGGCACAAAGACAGGGGTGGGGGAGAGCGGGGCAGAGTGGCACAAAGACGGGAAAGACAGTAATGTTGTGAAGTAATACTGAGAGGTGGAATGAAAAGTAAAAGTAAATTATAACATGTATAAAAGAAAACTTAAAAGCAGCAATTATAAAAATTGAAACATCTGTTTTGATTGCTGAGTTAGGTGCATATTTCCCACTGGTATAACAAAGTGACCACCAGATTCTAGATTTAAAAAATAAAATGGCAGTATTTCAAGTGTTCACTTTCATCACAGGAAGACTCTTCTGCACTTGTAACATTTGCACAACTTAATATGCTACCAACATATTTAGCCTTGTGCCAAACAAAACTAGTCCTTATTGGTTAATAGTAATTCTGCATATTGGAAACTGTTTTGGAAATAGTTTGCTGACTAAAAAATAGAAAGCTTAAAAAATAATAGCAAAACTAAGAAAAAGCTGTAAGAAGGAATATTGGCAATGAAAAAAGTAAAATAAACAGGAAAATCCAATAATTTTGTAAAATTCATAAAGATCTAAATATATGGTTGTCAACAAGAGAAACAGCCGAGGATGTGAATTAAAAATTGGTGGTACCAAAAATCAGGCAAGTATAGAAATTTTAATATCTGGGAAATGTTTTAACAGAGGATGGAAAATGTGACACTAACATTCAAAGGTATATTAAAATAGTGAAAAGTGTCTTCCACAAACTAAGCAAAGTATTAAGAAACAGGAAAATTTCATACAAATTAAAGAAAAGAGTACTGATCTGTTGTGCAATATCAATTCTCCTGTATGGCAGGGACTCTGAACAATCTCATCACAAATGAAGAAGTGTCTTCAGTACAGAAGGAAGCTGAGAATACTATAGATTAAACATGTTAGCAACAAGGAAGTTTTAATGAAAATTGAAACAAGAAGATACTCATACTTACAAGCAGAAAGTGACAGTTGAAATTTCTGCAACGTATAACAAGGAAAGTTGGAGAATATGACACTCACAGGATATGATAAAGGCATGAACAGCAAAGGGAAACAGATTAATCTAACCAACAAACCTGTGTTAATGGATAGCAGAACATGGATTGGGAGGGATAGTAAATATTGATTACAGCAATGAAGGATAAAAAGTTGGAGAGGACCATAGTCACTTACATCCTGAAAGAGCATAGAGGTTATTGTCATGAAGAAATAATTTTGTCCTTTCTTTTTCTTTTCATACTTCACATTTAAAACAGTGTGAAATGTGATTTGAGAAAAATGGAATGACTTGTCATTACTTTATCAGTTACCTCAAGAGAGAGTACTGGTACAATAATAACAATGGTGGTATCCTAAATTTCCAGGAACTGGTTCTATAAAGACAGGTAATCTTTAATAACTTATTCTGCATATTGTCTGAGAATGGAAACAAATCAATTTATAATATGAAAAAGAATTAAACCATTTTGATAATAAATAAATGTTTTTTCTAATAAATTAAGATATTTTAGATTGAAAACAATTAACCTCATTGTTAAGGGGGCTTAAAGTTTCAAGGCAATCTATCGAAAGAATTGTACCTGAGGACATTTGATACAAGTCCTTTGTAATGCAGAGAGGCCAATTCATGTTGGCAAAGATAAAAGATAACTATCTAATCCATGCAAGATACTTGCTGAGCAAGTTGAAACATCAAGAGCCAGAAATGTTTTAGTTTTTCTCTAATGAGAAAAACTTTGATCAGGGCCAAAAGATCAACAGAAGGAATGACAGTCATGATCAACAAAGAACGCATCATGCTTTTTCACTTCTTTCCTCCTGACTTAAGGGTCAATGTTGTTAACTATATAGAGGTGTTGGAGTGGGTTTTAAGACCTTGAATATAGAGCGTGAATATACCTACCAACAATCTCCATGATCATGTCACCCCAAAAATATGTACTAGTTCTCCTACCTGAATCCATTGGACTATTACACGTAGCACATAGGGAAGTCGATTAGTATCTCTAAAATGAATGACCCATATAGGTTTATATTCTTACAGGTTATTTTTGTGTTTTTAATGTCAATTACATAATTGTTATTTATAAAGGAAAAAAAAAAACTTGAGGTTTGATGTTTGACTATAAATAACTGAACATCAAGCCAAGAAGAAAACAATGAAAGAGTTAATTCAGATCTAATAAAACAGCCATATTATTTCAAGTGGAAATCATGAGTAGCTCCAAATGATTTGCAAAGCCAAACTAGTTATTTAATTTTGACACAGTGTAAACTGCAGTTTGCTGTAAACTTAAGAATCATACATAATAGTGAAAAGATTAAAATATAAACAAATAAATTTTATCCATTTTTTTTTTTGCTTCTTTTGATTAGATTTCTTTTTACATTAAATTCATTCAGTATTTGGAAGTTTCAACTGTTTATTTTTGCCAAACCATAATTATAAGTTAGTGAACACAAAACCTCATTGTATCAAGATTTATATTTATTCATGTTTCAAATATGAATAACTATTGTACATACTGAACAATTTCTTTTATATTCTAATTGTGTTTCATAAAGAATTATGAAATAATTAAATAATTTAAATTTGATAAAACAAATTTTATACTCTCAAAATTATAACACACATCATTAAAACACCCAGTTTGATGAATTTCAAACAGAAAAATAATTTTTGTTAAATATTATTAATTAAACAATATTCCAAGTAAGAAAGAGAAAAGAGATATTTTCTGTCTTTCAAAATGTCTACAATTGCATTTCCATACAAATCAACTTGTTGGATTTTTAATTAAATCACCGAAGCAACTTATTTCCTGTTCAGTTATATTTTTATTATTTCTCCCCTTTACAATATATGGTTTTATCAAAAATACTTTTACAAACTTTGGGGACAGGTTCCACACACAAAAACAAGGACAAAAGTCCACATAAACATATGTCCACAAATACTTTATTTTTGAGTTATTAAGTTTAAAGTTTATGGTAGATGGCACTGTGTTGTCATGCAAACTATGTTACATTTGTCATTTGCGTACATTTGTGTCTAGTCTGGCTTCAAAGTTTAATGCATGTAGTAGTGAGTTAACTGAGAAGTGTTCTGTTTAACAATATCAGAAAGTTTATATCATGAGCAGGTAGATTTTTATATATGGCCACACAAATGGTAATGGACATGAGGCTGCATGGCTGTATCAGATTGCATTTCCAGACTGAAGGCAGGCGAGTCATCCAACCTTTGCTGCTGTTTATTGTTGCACTGCTGAGACAGGATCTGCAGCATCACAAATTATTGATCGAGGAATCCCAAGATCTGCTTGTATGCCTGACCATGTAGAACACATTCTACAGGCTGTTGTAGTTGATCCAGGTATCAACACACACCAAATGGCCTTATTGTGTCATACATCTCTCAGTATTGCATGGAAGGTACTTCAAGGGTAGCTCCTGTATCCGTAGCATTTGCAGCATGTGCAGGTTCTTTTTCTCTCTGATCACACACCATGGAAGAACTTTTGCCAATAGTTTATTGCACAAACTGTCAATCCATTCTTTATCTCTTCAGTCTTGTTTATAGATGATGCATCATTTGGAAGAGAGGGAATAACAAATTTACACAACCAATATTTGTTGGCAGATCAGAATCCCCATGGTACAATACAGGCTTGACATCAGCATCAATTTACAATTAGCGTATAGGCTGGGATTGTTGGTGAGAGTTTGGTAGGTGTATATGTTTTCCCAACATGACTTATAGAGGCTGACTACAGGGACTATTTTGAACACACTTCCAGATTTACTAGAGGATGTACCACTACTAATATGATGACACATGTGGTTCATACATGATGGGGCTCCAGAACATTTTAGTCATATTATTTGTGATGCACTGGCTGACATCTACCATGGAAGATGGATTGGTAAGAGAGAACCAGTTTCATAGCCTACACATTCCCCAGACCTCAATCCTTTGGATTTTTATCTGCAGTGCCACCTAAAACAATTGGCTTATGTAGCAGACATTAATAATGCAAAAATGATTCATTAATGTGTCATTAGGGCCAGTGAAACCATTCAACACCATGTGGGTGTATTTGAAAGAGTCTGCCATTCAATTATCTGCAGTGGGTGCATGCAAGTGTAGAAGCAAGTGGAGTACATTTTCAACATTTGTTAGGAGTTACTATGCCGAGATACACTGATGGGCTTTTGGACATATGTTTATACTAGCTTAAATGCCACCCTATCAATAACAAGATTTTTCAAACAATTAAGTTTTCATCAAAACAATGATATAATTTGTCTATTTGGAACTTATTGCAAAGCTGCATGATAAATGCATGTACAAATAACTTGTTTGTATTCCCAACCCTTGAACAACAAATGCAGAGCTGGCCATGAGAAAAGCAGGATTCCATCAGATGAAGTTCAGTTACTTTTAGTGATTGTCCTTGATACTTACCGACTGACACTGACTCTTTCCTAGACCAGTAAGGATCTCTTCTTCCAAGAGATGAGGAATCTTCTTGACAATTAACCTTGTTCCATTACAAAGCTTTGGAGGATCTAGATTTCTCAATAGCATAACTGGCACATTTTCTTTTACTTCCAGCTTGTGTGATGGAATTCCAGTAGGATTCAATGAGTTCAGGAACTCTATTGGATAATTCATTGCCTGCTCTTGTTCTATCACAGTGTCAATGGAAAAGTACTTCATGCTTTCTTTTGGAATTTCTTGGAGAAGTTTCTAGTTGATGCTATCCACAGTTTGATTCTTGGGAGTTGATGTGGCCCTTTCCCAAAGCCAGTTTAAATTCAGGAATTGGTGTTTGATGTCTGGATAAACATGGTTAATCAAGTCTTGGATACTTGAGACTGAAACTCCAAACATTTTGAAGTGAGATATCACTATTTTGGTCCATTTTGATGGTTCTATTGCCAAACTGAAACAGCAAATTTTCCTGCTTCAGCATCATCTGTGATTCTAACTGTCATGTTTGTTTTCAGGCTGAGTGTTTGAACATGGCTACAGATGTAAGAATTTTTCAGGCAAGCATTGATTTCATCAGCTGGAGTTCTTCTTGCAATGACTGGTAATGTTTGTCTAAAATCACCAGAGAATAGCACAGTAATACCTCTCATGATTTGTGAATTCTGTCTAATGTCTTTGAATTTTTTGTCCAAGGCCTCAAATACTCACTTGCATGCTATGGTACATTCCTTCCAGACAATGAAGTTTGTCTCCTCTAGTGGCTTAACCAAATTAGTTCCTCTTTTGATATTACAAATAGGGGTTTAATGAAGTTCAA